ATGGGGGACATGCTCGGGGCCGCGAATAGCGGGGAGATGACCGCGCGATTGGCATAGTGGATGAGATACAGTGCGGCTACGACCTGGTTTGCGAGTGGAAGGGACGTGAGGTCTGTGTTTAGTCTTGGGGCGAGAGCTTGCATCACATGGATGAGGTTTAGGGGCGCCATGAGTTCCATGGCGGACCAGGCGAGGCGGCCTGGGATGTTGAAGATGGAGGATTTTAGCGAGGTTTTGCCCATTGGGAACCAGGTGGTGAGCCATAGGAATATTGTGAACTGGTTGGAGTTAGTTAGGGTGTTCTTTTGGTTTGTGGTGGTGGGAACTTACGGGGGCGAAGTATTGCCAGATGGAGAGGATTTGGGTGTACGTTTCCGGGGTCGGGTGGAGGAGATCCTGGAGGGGTGGGAGGGAATTGAGGATTGAGACGGTTGATCCCATTGTGTTTATTTCTGCCTGGGTATGGTGACTGTTGAAGATGGGTTCCTTCGTGGTGAGTGAAGAAACGGGAGAAATTGAATGCTGGCTGGCGATGAGGTCACCGTATAGATGCCACAACTTGTCAGGTGTTTGTTTCGATTGTTTGACAAAGAGAACGAAGTCGATCTTCTCTATGAGGATTAGCGGGACTTTTCCCATGTTGACTCCGCATCTTTAATTTCCGTATTGCCAGACCAAACCCAAGACTGCGAAGATCTGGAGTGGTTGGAGGATGCACCTCGTATATAGTACTAGTAGTAGTAAATAAGCTCTCGCCTATAAAATCTGCGAAGGAGCCGAAAGTTTTCTACATGGTGGCTTGAACATGGATCCCCCGGCACTCTTCATGCAAGTGATGATCCGCTTCCTTTTACTGGCCACTCCTACTAAATCCCTCCAGAAATAATGATAAATCCAAATATGACATAAGTTTTAATCTGTTCATCTATGCTAAGCCTCAACATCTAGCGAAGCTACAAGTCGTGAAGGAGCAAGGAAAGAAGACCCCACTCCGATCCAAACCATTAACAATAAAACTAAACCCGTATCGTTCCAATTTCAGGAATATCGTGGATCTGGATCTATGTCCAACGACCACCAAACTCGTAAACAAACGGATATCCCATCAGTCAGCAGACGTGTCCATCGTCTCCGATGCACTCTGCGTCGCTGCTTTTCTGCGCGCTGACATTCGCTCCGCCTTGAATGCCTCGATCTTGGCCTTGAGCTCCGTGTCTGTATCGGAAGAGTTAGTAACATGGAGCTGCAATGGCGACCGCACGGAATACATACCAGGTGTGACATCTTCCATCTTGAGGGGAACTCGGTTGAACGGATCATGGGGGTCACTCAGAAGATGAGACCGGATGGTGGAGCGATCGATAGACACTCGCGACCCAGGAAGAATCACAGGGTCGTCCATCAAGGTATACATGAGAGGATCTGGAAGATTGGTTAGCAACTGCCAGGACTCCCAAGAACAACAGCTCCCCGGACATACCTAAAAATTCGTCGGGGACCTCTCCGAGGTCCTCCTCTGCTTGTTCGTCGGCCTCCTTGGCTTCCCGCACCCGGCGCTGGAGCTGCTCCCACCGCTTGAGCTCCTCGGGAGACTTGAGTGACCACTTCCGCAGGATCTCCGCAGCCTTTTCGAAGTTGGCCGGCTTGTAGGACCGTCCATCCCGAGCAACGGCCACAATGAAATTCTCCTTGTTCATCAAGTTCAGATACACATCGACGATCTCGCTCAACAAGGCTCGTGGATTGAACCCGTATTCCTGCAGGTTGTCGACCCGGAGACTGGAGCTCTTGGGGCCCACCATAGCATCCAGATTGTAATCAAGCATGTCTGCCAGTCTTTGCACAATTTCCGGCATGGTGAATGAATCCGCCAGAGCATCGGTGAAGAGCTTCAGCATGGACACCGTTTCATTGGTCAATTGCATGTAAGACTTCGCATTGCGCTGAGCAGAGGCAAGTTGTTCCTCTTTCTGCTGTCGCACGGTGGGATCCATGCCCGCTCCGTTACGCAGTTCCGTTTGAGTTGTATGGATGGTGATGAAGGCACCGAACGACTCGTCCAGCACGAAAGTCACATCGTTGAGGAGCAGGTTCACGAAGCGCACGAAGAAATCCAGATTCCGCTTGGCCTGGTTGGAAAGCTTGGCACGGTACAGGGTGTTCGGCCAAATGCATTGGATGATCTGGAAGATCTCATAACGAATGTTGAACTTGTCGAAGAATTGGGTATGGGTGCCTGTGTGCTCAGCTTCAATGTAAAACTTCATCAAAGCATGCAGCAAATACTCGTTAGCAAAGGGCATGGAGTTTAGTAGGTCCACCAGAACGCCCCGCGCACCGCCAGGGCGAGGCCATGTTCCACGGAAGAGAATAGAGACAAGTCCGGCCTTCAGATACGGGTTTTTGATATAGCTAGTGCTTTCCAAAAAGGCTATGCAGAGCATGACCAATTCGTCACCTTGCGTTGCGGTGATGATCTGAGGCATGCACCACATGATGAACTTGAAATTGCTCACAACGTCTTCCACAAAGTACTCAGGAAGACACTGCCATACTTCCTGCTGCTGCTCGGGCAGAGGCAACTGGATGGGCTCTTGGGGGAAGTTCTTGCCAGACACGAGTCTCAAGAGGAAAACAATCACATAGCGCATGAACAGCATGGAACGGGCCTGCCACTGGTCGTCGAACAGCACACCTTGAAGACTGTACTTCAAGGCAAGACCCAAGTCCAACTTGTCCTTGTATTTCTTTAAGGCCTGCTCAAAGACCCTGAGTTGCATTGGGTTGTTGCTCCACTTCTGCCGTTCTTGCTCGAATTTGTTAATTGTATTCTCCATGTGTCGAAGGTCCTTCTCCAGTTGATCCAGCTTTGACGTCAATGACTCGCTACCGTAGTGGTGAGCAGCGACTGTGAGGAAGAAGATCTCTGTGATGAAGTTGGAGGTGCCATCAACCTTCTTAGCATAGAATGCATCAGACGCATGCTGGTCTGCGTTGATTTTGGTCTCATCTTTCATATCAACTCGAGGGTTCCGATGCAAATATCCTGCATCGATCCTGTCAATCTAATGGTCGAGTCAGCGGAAGATAAATCATGTAATCATTTCAGAATAGTCTACCTTGGTAAAGTTGGCGTCCATAAAAGGCTCACAGAGGTGGTCCAGACACGTCGTGAGATTGAACATGAAGCCATCCGAGGACACAGTATTCGGATCAACCTGCATAGCGCGTCGCTTGTGGTTAATGTTCAGAGCTGCGGCGAACCAGTCCAAAACTCTCTCACGCGCATCTTTCGACGCCCGAATCAGATGGTTGATTATGTCAAAAAGATCTGAGCTCAGCATCTGCTGCATCATCCGCTGTGAGCGCTGTGCGTTCAGAATATACCCCTGGTCTCTCGTCTTGGGGCTTGAGAAATAGGTCAAGGTCACTGCACTTTGCAAAGGCGATAGACGGAACCAGGGCCCGAGTAACGTGTCCTTCTCAAATGTTGCAGCCTCCCGAGATTCATTGAACAAGGACGACTCTGTGATGGCAGCACCTACAACCGCATGACGGACAAGGTTCCGTAGGGCCTGTAAATGAGGTTGACAAGACGCTCAGGTAGAAGGTGGGATGGCAGAACATACTGTTACGTAGGGCTTATAATCATCATTGATCGTCATGGCCGCAAGATCCTTGCTCATTTCTTCTACCGCCGCAATGAATGCTGGCTTGATGTTCTCATCCTCTTCAAACCTTTTGACAGCCTCACTTAAGAACTCAAAATCCACGCCCTTATCATCCTCGGGGTCCAAGAGAAGGTAAGGCTTAAGGGGCGACTGTCCGGACGGTTCGATCCTTAGCAATACCATGTTAGTGTCTCACCAACCACCTAGCTGAAACGCAGTACATACCCAAACATCTCCGGCATTGTAATCGCAAACATGCAATAGCTCAAGCAAAGGCGCCGGGCCTCGCATATGACATTAAACTTCGGGTCATCTTCGCGAGCACGACGGAATCCCTTGTGCAGCCTCGATATCCTCCGCCAACACGGCAACAGATAATCCAAGGGCTTCTGCTGGGGGGCATTTGAGGCAGCTTCCAGAAGAGCCTGGTCTAGGACAGCTGTCTCGATACGAAGATCGCGACCTTGGTCCTCGAGTTCACTCTTGAGGCCCGAGAGGTACGTCAATCTTTGTCCGTGGATATCCCGTCGGCGGTCCTCCTTCAACGTCAGCTTGAACACCGCGCTCAGTGTACGGTCCTCGAACGCCTCGATACTCTCTTCTGCCCTCGGCGGCGGTGGGGTGCCAGAAACTGGGGTGACCGATTGTGACCGATCGGGGCCTGTGATGTTCGAGACGGCTGGGGTGATCTTGATCCGCTTCCCTTCAGACTGTAGGTCGGGTCTTGGCGACGCTGCTCGGGAACTCGCTGCACTGCCGGCGCGGGACTGTGTTCGGGAAAGTGCTGGGGTCGAGGGAGATTGAGGCCGGCTTGATGGCTCTGTGCCTTCTGGTCTGGACGACGGGGACGGGTTTCCAAGCTTTGCTAAGCGCTTGTTGCGGATCTACTCAGGTCAGAACCACCCTACCAAGGACCACGGCAGACCGAAAAATTCTAGAAAATCAAAATCGAACCTTATCCGCTTCAGAGAGGCTGTCGGACATCTCTGAGTATTAAAGATACGGTGCCCCGTACCTAACGAAAGGCTTGTCAACCAGCGGGGCAGAAAATGCGGAGCCAAATCGATGAGCAGAAAAGCAGCGAGAAAAGGATGGAAAAAGTGAATCGATGGTCACCGAACCGTGCCGGGTTCTCAGATCGATGGGTCACGCTGCGGGGAACGAACTGAGAACCAGAGGCCAAGTGAATGAATGAATGTGAGATTAGGTACTAATATCGCTGGGAGCGAGAGACCCTTCTGTTGCAGTCGCTCAGATTCGTCTGCATTAACTAAGCTGTGTCGGGCGTTTTGCCGCCAATCGTTCATCTTCTCCGCTCTGAACTTACCCCGATTACTGCCGCCGTATCAGTGATCCCAATCTCTATCATAGTAGTTAATCGCTTAATTTTCTCCATGTACATACAATGATTGAGACTCATACTATTTATATCGCATATCGTTATAGACTTCCCAGCAACATCTCTGACCATGCGACGCCATCAACCTCGGCACATATATTGACATCTAATTGGAAACGAAAGGGCCCCCAGAATACTGCGTGGACAACATTAAGTATGAAAGAAATAGATGCGGCTAATAAAACAACGTCACGGTATTTGTTGAGAGAAAAGAACGCAAGTGAAAAAACCCGTTGTCATGTCGGTTAGTATCTTCCTTTCAACGAGTCTAACTGCCGACAACTCTTAAGCTCCATGGATCTTGCCGCCTTCATCTTCTCTACGTCGGGGAAGAACCAGCCTTGGGCGTCCTGAATCATACGGTCCCGGGCGTGTACTTCACTCTCACACGCATACCGGAGCTTGCTGACGTATTCCACTTCAACCCGTTGGTCTAACTGACGGAACTTGCGCGCGCTGAAGTCTTCTACATCACCCGGGTTAACAAAATAGTTAACGTGGAGTTTCGGCGTTGTCCGTTGCATCGTGTGAGGGGGTACTGCTGCATCAAATCTGTATGAGGGGCCTGCGGGCGTGGAGGAGCCGGAGAAAAGAGAAGAAAGCAGAGGGAAGACGAAAAGAAGGATGAGAGGCAAGAATTGCTGAATAGCGGCCCAGAACGAAGGCGCTGGTTCGGGCTGACTGTTCGCTTCGCGCGGCCTCCTGCGAGGCCGAGCACCACCGAATTGATGGACCCTAAACCCGGGCCCACCCCCCATGTTGAATACAAACTGAGGACCACCTACGTAGCATGAGTCAGTAAGAAGCCCTGCAAGAAATAATGAAACACTTAAGCCGCAGCCGTACCAAAAGTATTGAAGCCACCTCCCATACCACCAAAACCGCCACCGAAGAAGCGATTGAACAACTCCTCCGGCGATATCTCCTCTTCGTACATCCCACCACCAGGGTTTGCTGAGCGTGGGAAGCCACCGCCAAATCCGCTGAAAGGAGAAGCACCCGAAGGCCCAGAGCTGGGGCCGAATCTGCTGTCCGGATCTCCTCCGAATTTATCATACCTAGACTTCTTGTCCGAGTCCGATAGGACCTGGAAAGCGCGCGACACCACTATTCCTAGCGTCAGCAACGAAGCGCAGAGCGATAATACTAGCAGCGGAAAACTCACTCTTGAATGCTTCGTCGGCCCCCTCATACCCATTCTTATCGGGATGTGTCAACAGACTCAACTTGCGATACGCCTTCTTGATCTCGCCATCCGTGGCCGTCTTCTCCAGAGACAGAATCTCGTAGTATGCAGTCGACGAGCATTTCCGTATCCGTAGTACGGCTGCCTTTTGATCCGGGGTATATTTGCGGTCTTGATTTCCTTGACTGTGCTCGCGGGATTTCGCAGAGCCGCCATTGTCTACCCCAGACGCTGTGGCAGACGGCATGGTGGCAAGGCTCTGATCCTGTGCCCGAGCAAAGATATGTCCGTTGTTTTTATGAGCCTCTAACTTGTCCCACCTTCCTGCAGTTCCTCGTTTCCTTTCCTAGAGGACGATGGCGAATCCGAAGGCTGTCGGAGGAGAAAGGGCCCGTGAGGGTTCCGATAAGGACTAATTTTTCGCAAACGACGCTGGGAAAATCCAATAGCGACGATTTAAAAATTCCGGCGACTGGCTGATTGGACCCCTGCGTTGAGAACTTTGGTTGGTGTAAAATCCGGGGCAAAAGTGGTCTGTGATTACTGATAGATAAACGTGGTGTCTTTTCGAAGGTTCAGATTTATGTTGACTGAACCGGCCACTAAGCCGCGGGTGACAAGACCAAGACGTTAGTTTAGTCAGGAAAGCGTATCACTCCACTACCTATCAACTTCCACAAGCAGCTTCGCAATTCGCGACACCTCAAAAGTCGCACCCAATTGAACAATTAATCGTTCGCTCCCCGATTTAATCAGCTAGTTAATTCTTCTTTACAAATTATTTCAAGCTCCATCTTCTAAAATCTCCGATCGCAACAATGGCCGGTTCGGAATCTGCAGTGGAGAAGACCAAGCAGTCTCTCATTGAAAAAGCTCAAGCATGGGGAGGTGAGCATTCGCTTGGCCATTGATCGCTTTCCCCCATTTTGTCTCGTCTCTAACATCATAATTCTACAGAGAATCCGTTCACCCCGACACTCCTCGCAACCTTCATTACCGCACAGTACATGCGACCGTTCCAAGCACTGCCGATGCTCTTCCCACCCGTTCTTCTGTTCACGAGCTATGCCAATCTCCAAGGCTTTAAGACCGATAGCGCAGGAATTAGCGCTGCCTGGTCGGGACTTTACCTTTTGCTCGCGGGTCGGCGACGCCAGCCATTCATGAAGAAATGGGGTGCCCGGGGCATCGTCCGCGGTGTGACCATGGGTCTTTGCTTGGCCAACATGGTTGGTGGCGGACTGGCGTATACTTTGGGGAAAAGGGAAGAAGAGGAGGATGATGATTAAAGGTCGGCATTTGCGCCGTGGTCTGGGTTGTACGATAATGCGGGGGTTTTATGCTACTATGACTCTATTAAAAACGTAGTGCGGGCGTCGTGGCGGTATGGTGTTTGGGTTGAATCTTATGACGGAAAAGTTTTTAGTCGTCCTGGGCGAATATATATGCTCCTAGACGAGGGCGTCCTGTATTTTATAGATCGTCGACGGGTAGCGCTCATCGGCGCATCACATTTACTCTACCATGCAACAAAGATCTCATTAATGCTGTAATATCGTTTACTCCGAGTATGGTTGCTGGGACAGGATGAACTCCCGGACGTTGTCGGGGACCAGCCCACCCAGATCTTGGGGATTCGATCGGATGGCCTCTCGGGCCAATGTCGAGCTCACCGGTCTCTGGTCTGGCCGTCTCCCTTCCACGAGCTGAATCCGTTGAGCCCATTCAGGCTTACCGCCTTCTTTCTCCATGCCACCCTGAGCCATGTTGAGTAGGAACTGCCTCTGCTCTTCTGCATCGCCCCACTCGCTACCCGGTCGCATAGTGACCCTCAACCGATGGCGGGTGAGAAAAGGCCCTAATGGCTGGAGGGTATGTTCTGGGGGATAATACTTGGGGTTGAAGATGCGGATCAACGTATCATAACCGGTGAGATGAACCTGCTCCAGCGACTCCGGATAGACCCCCGCAGTATCGATTTCCGCGGCTTTATCCACGAAATACGGTTTTTTAGTGAGACCGATATCGATTTCAGGAAGACTCCCATTCTCTGGAGTCGAGAAATGGGGTTGTAGATATGCCAGTAGGTCTCTCGCGAATAGTTCCATCATGACAAGACGATCCTCGAACAAGGCTGGTTTGGAAGGTTTATCCGCATTCTGGGTCGCAAGCAAGAGTAAAAGCCGCGGCGCTTTGCTCGCATTTTCTAGAAGGGCGGTGCTAGCTATCCTGCGATGAGCAAGAGTTGGCGGGTTGAATGATGAATCTAGCACATATAGGACATCTGGAATGTGAGTTGGTGGTGGGGGAGATTGAGTAACGGCGATAGAGGTGATGATTTCAAAGTTCTTGCTCGACGCGATAAAGCGCTTCAAGGTCGCACTATATTGCGCTCGGAGTGTCTGGAGGGTTGGGGTCGTCATACTTTTCTATTATGCAGAGCAGTAACCACCGTTTAAAGTGTAGTACCGAGGCCTTCTCTTCGGGGACGTCAACGGTCAGACAAGGACAAGAGCTTCAAGTGGAGACCGCTGAGATCCATGGAATGGAAGGTTGAGAGAAGTTCCGAGGGTTGGCGCCCGGTGGATTCGGTCCCCGCGGGTGGCTGCAGAGAATTGCATCATACAAAGACAACCCTAAACAACATGGGAGTTTATACTCTGGACTAGATGCTCAGCTAAACTCAACTCACCCGTTTTGTGAGGGAGAATTGCATTGTCCTTTGTGGCTCAGTCCGTTGGAGCATAACTCAACAAACGGTGGTCAGTGAGTTATTTTCTGCGTCTCGTAACCGGTCCTTGAACTATATTGGCAGCGGGAAGATCTTAATCAAGGACCCTGAGAAGCAGCTTTGGTACGAATGATGGGTCTCTTGATGGAGTATCTCAAGGAGACTCATCTCAGGCCGTGTGAGTATCACCAATTAACATGAAACCGATCTACCCGTGTGTCTGGAAAGTTGTCCGCTAGCAGGTTGGAAACCGTGGCGTTCGGAAAGTTATCAGAGAGGACTAGAGTCTAGACTGCTTCTTCGCATATCACCTACTGCACGCAATTTCCACTGGAGGGGTGACGGTACGAGAAAATTGCCGTGGATGCGCAGATTTGATCGATATCGATGTCTTAACTAGTGGTTAACTCCCGGGTTGATTAGTATTGGGGGGAAGCGGGAAGGAACACCATCCACAGCCCTCACGGTCATCAGTCTGAAACACTGGCCCCAGTCAATTCCCGAGACGAAGCATTCCATCTGGGGAGTTCTTTTCCGTCCCCAAATCCAAGGGGAAACTTTATTCCCAAATCTTGTCCTTTGTCAAACGTCCCCAAAAATTACGGGTAAATTGGGTTGTCGCGGTCTTGAGTCCCCCGTACTCGTGATTTCGTCCGGGATCTAGGCTGGATACCGAGTACAAGCCGAAGTTGTCTGGACTCTGGAACCCTTTGCCGAGATCCACTCGGTGCTGTCGCTCTGATCATCGTCCGGGTTCTAATTGTCAAGATCAGTGATGGGATGATCTACATCCGTCAAAGCTCGTATCCAGGTAGTCTATTAAGTCTTGACATGTACGCTCTCCCATCAGCCATCATGCCATGGTGATGATTTTTGCATCATCGCCCATTTCTTTGGCCTTTGTGAGACGTGTTACAGGGTCGTTTCAGCCTCGGCTGAGCTTCTCCCCGACTCTCGGTTAGACGGACTCCTCGTTAGGGACTCAATAGTTAGATGTTTGTGGGATCCGCCAGGAAAAGTTTGTCAAGGAGTATATTACTATATACTCCGGAGGATGCACCAGAAAGGATAAGACTACGATATGAACGGTGAACGACCCCTATTGCCATGATCATTCGGTATTAGACTAGGCAGAACATTCTCGGATGAGGCAAAAGGGGGGGCCGGTGGCAGATTTTTCTTCTTTTCCTTTGCTCGTTTGGGCGTAGCCGGATACTACGTCTTATGCTATCGCGCTCTGGATAAGCCACCCACTTGCGCTAAGACGAGCGTCCCAGAGTTGCGGTGGTGGTTACGGTACAGTATCATGCATGTTGGCCAATCAGGCCCCGGTGGCCACTTGGTGTCCACCCCGGTACCTGACTAGATACTACTAGTTAGTACTAAGTAGGAGTGCTCAGTACCTGGTACTCAGTCTGGTCCTTGATATGGATGGAACTTGAACCTCACCACGGCCAGCTTTGACGGGGACCAGGACCACCTGTCTAGAGAAGTTGAATAGACGCCGGTGGTCTTTTTTTTTTTTATATTATTTTGTCGGACGGGTGTGAGACATGTAATTTCAAGCAATCGAATCTGGATGGTCAGATTTGACTTGAGTTCCCAACGGTGTGACGTGAAAAAATCACCCAATTGGTGTGTATAGAAAAAATGAACGAAAAAGCCAATAAAAAAGAAAGAAGAAAAAAAAGAAAAAAGAAAAAAGGTACAACCGTGCGACGGGAAATGGAACAGGCACGCGGCGAGATTAAACCCACGGGAGTGACCAATCCGCGGGCAGAACTGGGGAGATGAAACTGGATCCTCATCTCGGGGCCGCCCCACTTTAATCATACACCAAATTAATTTTCTGGGATGATTTGATCGGTAACGTCGCAGGCACCCCGTGCGCAGGAGACGACGCAGGGAAAAATAATGGGGTGTATGCGGTATTAGATTGGTCCCGTGTATTATTGTGGATTGTTTCTGGGTGAAAGTATCAGAAAGTCCAGACGGTCTCCAACATAAGATGATTCCGTCCCCTTCCTCGCCCTCTTTTTAACTCCCGCTTCCTCCGTTCACTCGCTAGACTGCTCTATACGTTCTCTACTTTTGCTCTCTGTGCCAGAGACCATTCTCTTTCTTTCAGGTCCCCTGTCATTCGTTCACATTGCGAATAGATTTCGCATCCCACTCTCGTTACTTGACTAGCGCAGTCTCTCTATCAAGAAAAGGAAACACAAATCCAAATATCAAATCCGTATCCATCTAGATCAAAGACATTGACTGTCAGACTACATCCACAAAATGCATTTCAACAACAAGATCTCCGTCGCTCTGTTGGCCGCTCTGGCTGCTGGTTCCGAGGCCGGCCATGCCCGCAACCACAAGCTCTTCCATCCCCGGAACGTCAACTCGACCGTGTCCACCTCGTCGGTGATTGTCTACCCAACCCCGGTGTTGACCCCCAGCTCCTCCGTGCCTGCTGGTTCTTCTCCTGTTACCTCTTCTTCCGCCGTCACCTCCTCCACCTCGGACGCCAGCTCGTCGGCCATTACCCAGGCTCCCCCTCTCAGCACTGGTGTCCCTGGATCTTCTGGCTCTGGTGATAACAACTCGGGATCGGCCACGGATATCACCATCACCTATACCCTCGGCACTGGTACCTCGAAGAGCGTGGTCACCACCACTATCCACAAGACTGCCACTAACACTGAAACTATCTTCACCGTATGTTCGCCCCGTAGGCCTTTGAAACCCCCCCAGGACTGTGGACTAACTATCATCCCAGAAAACTCCTGCTGTTCCTACTGCCAGTAGCGAGGAGCAGACCACTACGCTTCACTCCACCTCTACTTCTACCGTCACCGTGGTAGAGGTTCCCTCTTCTTCTGCTGCCCCTGGCAACGGCGGCAACGACGGCAGTGAGGCTTGCACCGGACAGGCTACCGTCACCGTGACTGCCACCGTCACTGAAACCGTCACTGGGGTATGCGTTCATTCGTTTGCTGTCGGTGACTGTCAGCTGCTAACTGGATTTCTAGGCCCCTACCGCTACTGCTAAGCCCGGTGACCACGACCACCAGAAGCACCCTGGTAACTCTGGAAACCATGGCAAGCACAACGGCAACGATAAGGGTAACGACAACGAGGACGGGGATGACAACGACCAGGGCGAGGACAACGACGACGGTGCTGAGCACACCAAGGCTCCTCTCCCCGTCCCTACCCACTCTGGACGTCCTCCCTTCGGCAACGGCACCCTGCCCATCCCCACCAGTGGCACCGCCAAGCCCACTGGCTTCTTGACCAGCAGCAAGCACGCTTTCCCCACCAACTTCCGCCGCTCCCACTAAGCGCCTGGATCGCATGACACCCCTGGTCCTCGGAGCGTTGATATGACCGTCTGTAACTAAGATTTCATTTCGTGGCGAACCGCGCGCTGGCACTGGACCCGATGAGGGAGATGCTGTTTTTACTTCTGGTACAAACTTGATTTAGACATTCTTACATACCTTTCTTCACCTATCCGGCAAGGGCAACCTGGCCGGTGGTTCTTCGCTTCTTGCAATCGGGATCGATCCGGTCCTACGTTAACCAACAAAGCTTTCTTCTTTCTCCCTTCTGTCTCTCCTCTCGTGGTGCACTTTTTGAAATCTATGTATATCGGGACGGCCCGCTACGGCTCAGTGGGTTACGGTCACACAAAACAAGGGAAACAGCAGTGGGAAGGAGAAAGTCTCATGCCGGAGTTGGGTCTGTACAAAAGTTTCTTTGGCCGACTCCGGGAGTAAGACGTCTGATTCAATCTGCTACGCCAAAACTATGATGATCTCTTATGGATATGGATATGACGGCGAATTATTTCGATATGTATCTCCTATGACAGAAATCCACAGGCTTGGGTTATGTTTACGTTTTGGTAGACGAGGGACACGTAGACAAATATGGACAAGGAGCCCCTGTAGTTCATTAGTATATTCTATTACACGTAATACTCTCCACAGTATACACAGTCTATTATACATCAGAGATACCAATCAATCAATCAATCTCCAAAGCCCCAACACCGTCGCGCAAGATACGATCGCGCATAATATGCCAATCCAACCAGGTCACGCCCTGCAACAGACAGTCCGCCAAATCATCCAGCTTCCCAATATCAAGCACACCCACCTGACCGCGTCTCCTCTTCTGGCCCTTCCACTTGGCCAAATACGCCTCCACCCACTGCCGGAGCTCGCCCTCCCCCGAAACGGCCACCTTCACGTCCCGCTCCCCATCCGCCAACGCATCCTCCAACCACCCCCCAACCAAATCCATTTTCACCTTCTTCCCCTCGCGCGCACTACTCCTCCCCTTTTTCTCCTTCTCCACGCCAAGCCCATCCCCCCAATACCGGACCACGCGTTGCGGCTCCACGCCGAGGACCACGGGCGCCGAGCCACCAGAAGAAGAAGAAGAAGAAGAAGAAGAAGATCGCCCCCTCTCGCGGCGCAACGCATACAAAACAGCATACAACATGCCCTCGAAGACGCCGACCCGCAGCGTCCACTCCTGCACGGCACTGCCGCCACCGGAGCGGAACCGCTGTCTCTCGATGAGGACATGCGTGGGCTGGTATTTCTCCAGCAGCGTCGTGATCAGCACATAAGCCTGTTTGGCATACGGCGAGGGATGGAACATGTCTTTCGCATCTTTCTCCTTTTGACAAGCTAATTCGCTGAGCTCATCCATATCAGATGGCTGCTGTGTCCAGCCTGTTGACCCCAGCTCAGGTACTAGTAGATCCGAGACGGCCAATCGGCGCCAGGCGTTTAGGGTTGGCGGCGGCATTGCACTACTACTACTAGTACTAGTACTACCTGTGGCACCGGGGACCAGAAGATGCGCAAAGGCCAGGTTGCGGATACCCATGTCGATGCTGAGGATACTGAGGTTCTGGGGCTGCGTTTTTTGTTGTTTCTGCGTCTTACTCTTGGGGGGGACGGTGTACTCGCATTGCGCGAGCTCCGTCTCCAGTCGGCTTATTAGGGCTGCCTTGGGGCCGGCGGAGCGGATGCCCGTTGCGTGGGCGATCTTTTGGAGCTGGGCTGTTTTGAGGGATGAGAGCCATGTGGTCGGGTTGAGGAGGGGTGAGGAGGGGCGCATTATGTGGTTTGGAGGGGGTTGGTTCGCATTCCATTGAGATGTGGATGTGATGAACTTCCGTATGGATTATTTATTGATTAAGTTTATTTATCTAGTTTAGTTATCTGATCTAGAGAGTATTGCTGGCTTACATAAGACATACTAGGTTTGGACTTGTGTCCCATTCATTTATACAGCCTTGAACACACATATTTTCAATGCGCTAGAGATCCCAAAGAAGCTCAGAATACTCTCTCTCCTCCTCATGCGCATTAATATATCAACCATGTCTCCTTGATAGCGTAACTATTATCGATCTTCACTACAACAAAAAAAAGGAAAAGAAAAAGAGAAGGTAAGGGCCCGAACCGCGATTCGAACGCGGGACCTCTCGCAGATTAAACTGTTGCCAGTCTAGAGCTATTAAGCAGCCCGCTGATAGATAATTAGTACCCTGGTTGTGTGGATAAAGTTGATGTGTCGAGGACTTACAAGCGAGAATCATACCACTAGACCATCCGGGCAGATGATGTAATATTTCTGGTTTTGTTGGAAGTTGTTTTAGACACCGCTTGTTAGTGGTTGATTCACTGTTACCAGCCATGTATCATCATCATCCTCCTCAATAGCTGGTGATATTGATTAAAACATACGGAGCAGAACTAGAGGATTGATTACTTCGATCATAGAAGGGTCGAATACGTCGTAGGTGCATTCTATCCTAGTATATGGAGTAGCATAGATATCTATAATTATATATCTATTGCTCCCATTCTTTGTCAACGATAATCAATGAATGATTGATTGAATGGGAAAAAAAGAAAAAAGAAAGGATACATGAGGGCCCGAACCGCGATTCGAACGCGGGACCTCTCGCATATTAAACTGTGACCAGTCTAGAGCTATTAAGCAGCCCGCTATTAATTTCATTAGTATTTGGTTTCAGAGTCCGTCACTATATAGGTGTACTCACAAGCGAGAATCATACCACTAGACCATCCGGGCGGTGTATGGTATTCGGCTTCATACGTGCGTAGATAACTATATGCCAGGATGGAAGAGACAACGTTCTCTAAACGAAATATAGAATAGGCAACCCATTCACTCAGATAAATATACTAGCTGCTATAATAAGCTTTCCTATGGTATTGCGTTTGGTTTGAGGTAAGTCATCCACGATGTAGTGAGGACATACTTTCTAAGGGTAACAGGTGGACCTACTAGTAATCCTTTGGAACTACCTGACAACTCGACTAAGTGACTAGTCCCGCATTACTAGTTGACTAAATTTTAAGCTATTAGGATTATATATATATTGTACACATTTTATCCTCTGAATCAATGCGCAGGTAGTCGGAAAACAAGTTCCCTCCCTTCTATTCAAACAGGCGAGATGCCAAAAAGACGAACACCACCAGATGCCAATCGGCATTTAATGTATGGATATTTTCCCCCGGTTAACGCCAGAACCAATAATTACCAATGCAAAAACGCTGAATTGCACGTCAAGAAAAGCGAAACTAAAATGGAAAAGCATGGAAACAAATGTAAAGCAGTCCTCACCACGTTATGCCAACACATCTGCGTAGAGCATCATGCCATGTCATGGTTGCCCATCGCCACGTCGGTCGGCGACACACATTCGCGCACGTAGAGGATAGGCGCCCAGACTCGCCAGTGGAGGACACCCATGTGTGCGAGTCGCATGGCAATCCGTTCAATGCCATAGTGTTGCTGTGAGACTGGCGAGTGAGGATGGCTCCGTTGAGATTCGCAGATAGCCAGAGGTGACATGGTTAGGTACTGTTGTGCAAAGCCCATGGTGGCCGCCATCAAATTTTCACGCCATAAACTTTGGAAGTGTTGGAAGAGTTCTGACTCGCCCAACAGATGGGTCTCTAGCTGGTTTTCAATACGCGCCATGACGCTATCGGGGACCATAGTAATCTCGCAGCCATATGCCTTGCATGCAAAATGCGCAATTTCCAATGCAATACACCGTATACTCTGCATCCACTGAGGCGACCGTCGTCTGCAGTCCTCACTCTCATCTATCAAGGACTCGATGCGAGACCGGAAAGTAGCGTATGCTTGTACCTGAGCTGGATGATATCGTTTGAGTGGATTAACACAGCGCTGAAAGACTTCCCAACAGATGTCAAGCGTGATTAGGCTCTGCAGACAGGTCCGCAACTGCCACAAGCGATCAGAGTCGAAGATAAACGTTTCCGGGAAACTTTCCGGAGTATGGAACTGCAGCAGGAGATCCGATAGCCCACCAAGCAAAACCGTAAGGGGGCGGAAGTTGTCTGGCTTTTCCATCCTGGTCAAATCTCGTTCACGTAGTTCTTGGTACCATAGTCGTGACGACTCCACGCGGAAGTTATCCCGTTCAATTTTGCTGCGAAAATACTCTTGCAGAAATGGTATAGTGTCTTCTATAAGTAGCACCCGGAATGCGCGGATCTGATGGTTTGCAACGTCCTATCTCAACGTATTAGTGGTGTTTCCTCCTGCCCTAATTGTGCCCGCCGAGGGTCGGAGGCCTTACCAATTTCATAGCCTCCAGGATGGCAAACAGAGTCTGGAGACCACGGACAATCTCCAAAGAGTCCTGTGACCGTGACCCCGAGCTGATCTGTTCCACCATACGGTCTGCCCATTCATCACGCATTGGAGCGCAATGGGTCTTGAGCAATGCTGCGAGCCAATTCGCCACGTCTACCATATTAAGGACGCCCTTCCGAATTTGCTGCATCAGTAAAGGTACCTCGAGATTTTGCATCACACTAGGATGATCTCGTTCCGGGACCAGGGTTTTCAGAACATCCTGCAAGGTGTCAAACAAAGACGGTAGTCGAGGCTCGAAGCTTTGCTGCTGGTCTGCCCACATATGGTCACATGGGGTGAGCGGCTGCTGAGCGGCGCAGAATGCGTAGATAGTTATCTCTGTAGCCATGGCTTCCCAGTAGTCGGCCGCTTCCTTCCTTTTTCGCCGACCTTTCTCGCCGTCTAGATCCGGTTTGAAATGGAGATCGCGGTCGAAGTTCGCATCCATGCGAAGGTTGATATTGCTCATGATACAAGGCAAATCGAGTTCGCTCAGGGTGCTTTTGGTGACTGGGGGGTATCTCTTGGCCGTGAGCAACAAATTATATTCCTCCGCACTGAGGCCCAGCTCCGGAGGAATGCGCATTGCCTGTGAGGAAGGCGAGGGGGTGTTACTGCACGCGGGCTGCTGAAACGCCGACGAAGCCTGGTGCATCTCATGGTCGCAGGTAAATGGAGTGCCCTGATGTTGCTGGTTTACCTGCGCCGGATCTTTGCTTTTGTTCGGATCCCGATGATCTAGAGAGTCGTTCTTGGGGGAATCTTTGGAGTGGCCGTTGCCTCCGTATGGTTCCAAAGGACCCTCCGTGCTGTCCTCCTTGTTGCCGGGAGCGGCGTCCCGCCGTGCCTCTTTGGCTCTTTGAAGGTCCATTTCCCATCCAGTCCCGTTGACAGCCGGGGAGGAAGTTGCTAGTCTGGGGGTGGTTGAGGAAACTCGTGGAGTCCGGGGAGGAACAAATAGTAAATCAGGAATGATTAGAAGAAGTGTGGAGCGTTAGATCGTGGGGGTCACGGGCATTTCTCTCTTGATGGACGCAAGGCACCGCAACCCTCCACACTGTCGGCGGGGCAATTGGATGAAAGAGATCCCTTTCCCCAGCCCTTCAGTTAGTCCTTGCCTGAGGCCGAAGGGGGAGGGATTACGGTGAGGGAGGAAATAGTGCTCACCTGATGCGGGTAACCCGATGTCGATCAACCCCCGTTGATACCAAACAAAACCCCCAAAACAGAACGATCTTCAATCCTCTCCAGGTGATCTGTCTTTTGTATCGCACGCAGTTGCAATGGTTGCTGCTTTTTGTCCTTGTTCTCTTTCTTCCCCTTTGTTCTTCCTTGCTCTTTTAGGACCCTTTTTTTGGGTTTCTCCCGCACTGAAAGAAGTATAAAGGGCACGAGGGCGACCAAGGGCCAAGCCAGTCCACTGGTCCACCAAGGAGCCAAGTCCAGAAAAAGTAAAGTTGAAGAACAGCCAATGGCTTTCTATGCGACCACTACCCAAGACTAGAGAGGTCGAACGAATAAACAAACGGCAATGGGTTACAGAAATGCCGAAAGGGAGTACAGGTCAAGCCACTTCATTAGCAGAGTGGACGGGGATGGAAGAGTGTTGATATAAGCCAATGGTATGAGATGGAACTTGAAAAACGTAAGATCTGAATACAGTCATGAGACGAGAACAGAGAGCGAGAGAGAGAGAGAGAGAGAGGGAGGGAGAAGAGAGAAAAAAGAAAGAAAGAAAGACAGAAAGAAAAGGAAAGAGTCAAGGATGATGAATTTCTCCACTCGGGCCTTAGAAGTATTGAATTCAAAGAGAGATCGCGAGAGAGACTGTCGGAAAGAGCAAGAGACGATGCAGGCCAACCAAGGGTATGGCACAGGCACTAATGTAATCAACGCTGGGTTCGGGTTAGTAGTCAAAGAAAGGATGAATGGGAACAGTAGGAGATGAAACTATAATAGTAAACGGAAAACTTCTTAGTCCCCAAGAGCGCCACTGTTGGGATTATTTTCGGCATTTCCCCCAGGCCACGAGAGGGAGAGGGGAGAAGGCAAAGTGAGGCTGATCCATACAAGTCTTGGAGATGGACGATTGCAGGAAAACAAATGACATCCGGAAACGTCCACTCCTATCGAACTAGTCGCATTGATGCTGGATGACGTGGGATGCCGAGTCGGCAATGATTTCAGGTCTTAGTTAGTTCGTTGGTGATTTATCGGTTCGTTTTCTTCGCGTCCTGGCCGCATTACTGTTTAACTTTACCTCTGGATCTGCTGGGGTTTTAGTAAACGTTAGTTGGGTTGGAGTGGAGACGCCGATGGAGACATCGTCAAAGGGGCAGGAATGGATTCCTAACGGTCGCGAAGGAACTTCCACCCTCTCTCTCTGTCTCTCTCTCTCGCTCTCTCTCTTTACTCCCCACGCGGCGATCCCCTGTCCTTCACCACGTTGGAAAGGGGGATTTTTCGCCGGTCTCAGTAACATTCCAGATGACAAAAAATAAAATAAATATTTCAAATCAAATCAAAAACGGGCACATGGGGTCATATCCATACGATCTGTACGATCCTCCCCCCAGGATTCGGCGTGTGCCAAAAAAAAAAAAAAAAAAAAAAAAAAAAAAAAAAAAAAAAAAACAATGCCAGTACCCGGCATTGCGAAAGCGAGTCTCTCTCCCCAAAGATGCATGATACTATCGGTATTAGAAATCAAGGATTTTATTTAATACTGTGAATCGCCACGGGCGCCACCGGTTCTTTGTTGAATGATTGCATTGGCCATGGATAAAGAGAGCCAAGGAGGCGATCGTAGAAAAAAAAAAAAAAAGAAAAAAAGAAAAAGTTATGGAAGGCATTGCAGAAAGACACGGTCTTCGTTGCCGGAGTGAGCGTTCGGTGTATTGCAGCTTGCATGCGGCTTTCCGCGAGTTGTGTTCAGATGGCTCTTGCGCAATGGAACAGGTCTTCAGAACCTTTTACCCCTTTAGAACGAGTTGAACGTAGGGGGGGCAAGAGGGTATGTAGCAGAGAGACATTCCAGTCTTAAGCATATCAACTTCGGAGCCCTTAATACTCCTCCCATGCCCGCCTTTCTCCCCTGGTTTGGCTTTTCCCCTACTCATGCCTGTTTCGAGCCCTTTGAATCCGTCTCCAGCTGCGTACGCTAGGTATGATCCAGTGCGTCGGTGTCACGCGCGGCCATACCAGAATATGGAGACGGCGTTGGTCCTGTTGTGTACTATACGGAGAGTACTTGGCAGATATCCTTGATGCCAGTGGGGTTGTCGATGCTTTACTTTCACACAAAACGGGTGGCCACGAGCATCACTTCAGGGGAAACGTAATTTCTTTTTCTTTCAACTTGGGAAATGACTGTCGGTACTCCATATTGTGTCCATTTATCGCGTACTCACCATCTACTTCAAACGATCGTATGGTGTGCATGGGAGACCATTCGCCCACCGACAGTTGTTATTTTTTTTTATTGCAATCGAGTCTCCGGGGCCCGTCGGCGGGATGGCTTGTGGCGAATGACGGTAGGGAATAGGAGAGTCCCATCTGAGAAACCTTGTCTCGGGGGTGGTGGGACGATGGGGATATTCCCTGATCCACTCCCCCAGCAGCTTGATAGATAAATCTCCCAGAATTCCAGTCGAAAGTGGATCACGCGCGGTGAAAATTGGCTAGTGGGCTTCTGCCGCGCTGATAATCACAGCGACATTGTGTTTTGTAGTCTACCCGGGTTAACCCCCCTGCAAGTTCCAAGGGGACCAGTACAGGAGGTGGAATAAGCTCTTGATATCTTAAGCGATACCCGGGATCAGGATCGGCCGGTGGTGGTGATGTTTTAAAGCTTCTTTGGATTTCAGCAGATGTTCAATTTGGTTTGAAACCTGCGGAAAAGGCGACAGAGGATTCCCCGTATTGCGCACAAAGAGAGGATCCTGAGGTGGCTGGAACCTTGACGACACTGCAAAGCATCGAAGGGGCGTACGAAGGAATGGGAGTCGCTTGCGCTTGGCGCCTCACTTTTGCAAATGCACTGATCACAAAAAAGATTCGCCTCATTCCGGAGGCCACCGGAACACCCCCCGTTTGCATCCAAACTTCTATAAAAGAGCGGTGTTAATTTGCTCCCACTTGATCGTTCCTCTGTTCGACTTGTCCACTGGCTGCATTCTGCACTCGTCAAGGCGCTCCTTGGAGAGGATCTGTTATGGGATACATAGTCGTGTAGATGTATAACTGTCGCATTATTCTGCGAACTGCCTGTTGTCTCACGTGAGCACCCACTGTGTGATCCCCACACATCAATTAAAGCTCCAGGACACACTAAATGCTCACTGACCGCTCCTGGAGCAGAGACACTTTGGAAAGGTGTTAGAGGCCAATGATCGTGTACTCCTACATATCTATTAAGCCTCATGGAACTAATTCGGAACGGAAAAACAGATAGTCTTGTTGCTAGGCGGGTATTGTGGCTTGTCTGAATTCCAGCTGGCTCGAGAATCAAGCTCAAACAGCTTATGCGAAAGACGGCGGAGCGTTCATGTATACCTTGCCGAGTACGGGAATTGTAGATATGGAATGTTATATCGGACTACCTGTCACAAAGTGGTAGTTGGACCTTGATGTTGTCATTGTCATGAGTTTAACCTTTGTGAAGGATGAAGTCATTTTGGGATTATACTCCCTAGGACTAAGTATTAGCTATCCATACAAACAGCTAAATAAGAGTATTTGTAACAGGAATATAACAAAGCAGGTCTTGAACAAGGTGGTTTCGGGTACAGTCATCTTGAAATCCTTCTTTTGCTTGCCCCCTAATATACAGCCACAGCTATAGCCCTAACTATGATCAACACTACCATCATAACTACCTCCCCTACACCACACTCTCCAATGTACATACAACAGCTACTCAATCAACCACATTCGTAGACTATACCCTACCCAGCAAAAGTACTAACCTCCGCCCCCGCCACAAAATACACAACCCTCATCCTCCCCCGATCCAAAAGCCGTTCTTCATCCGCGCGTAACCGCTCCCCCTGTGCCACTAACGCCTCATGAAACGCCTCGTGGTGGGCCTGATCACGAAGGACAACCTCTGCACAGCAGTCCCAGGAGAATTCCCCGGCTACGGTGCTGGGGAGGATGACTCCCTCGCGGGGGGGATGGGGATCAGTAGGGGGGTCCCATCCGGGGATTTGTCCGTGGTGTCTGGGATAGGCTTCTCAACCCGGGGTAGATAGTATCGTTTGTGGACGGTAGGGAAGCGCTCGGGGCCGAGAATGTCCTTGAGGAGGGGGATGTGGTGGTTCTCGTAGTGAGATTTGAAGGCAGTTGGCGTGAGGCCGGGTTTGCGGCGGAGGAAGGCGAGGAGGGTGTATGTCTTTTTTTTTTTTTTTTTTTTT